ATTGAGCCAAGTGGGATGGTGGTTAGTTTTTAGTTGACCTGTTAGACATTGTGATGATGACTGTCCTAACTCTGCGTTCACTAAAAATACTTAATTGTGCCATAAAAATAATTCAGTTCAACAGTACAGCTCTTTTAGTGTCAATAAATTTATTTGTTTATCCACTCCAACAGCTGTTGATATTGATAGATTTTTATTCAAGCAACATCCTTAAATATTCCTGACAGCAAACATAGTGAACTAAGATATAAACACAGTAAGTTCTGAATAGATAACAAAATTTTGGAGACATCTTAATTAGGTTTTTGATGAGAAGCTTTGTGACAGAGATTCTACATTATGAAAGTAAGTTAAAATGTTTGTACGTAGATTTTTGCCCGCCCTCGTTGTTGTTAGTCCAGTCCTCCAGTATTTTTATTTAACTGACTATAATATGGGCCTAACACATAGAACTCCATGACAGCCAGATCCATAGATGCTTCCCATTAGCAGATTCTTGTCTAAAAATTAAAAAGAGGTGCTCGCTGTTGAATCCAAGAGTGAAAGAGTCTAAAATGGTTTATATTTCTTCTCCCATTTTTCTTTCTGCATAGTTAGAATTGTTTGAAGAGAGTCATTATCCTACCTGTAGCTTCAGATAGTTGTTGTTTAGTTTAAAACACTCCCCCCACCCCAAACCACCACACACGTGCATCCTCTTCAGGGGGAAGTCTGCATAATAGTAATTTGGTCAAAAGTGTTTTTGTATTGCACAGTAATTTGTTTTTCTCTTTTGTGCTTTGAAGTGTATGTTACCACATAAGAGTTCCACTCCTGTCTCCTTAAACACTGATGATTCTTTAGATTTTTAAAATATCAATAAAACTATAGTGTTTTTTAAAAAAATATTAATAAAACTATAGTAGGCATTTCTAGGAAAGTTCTAGTGCCGTCATTTCGTCTTATACTCCTTAATGTATCTACACACACACATGCACACACATACACATGCCTCATGCCTCATATGAGGCATAAGATCACGGGTAAACTAGCTGCGGTCAACTCTCAAGACCGATTAGTGGAGCAGTACCATCAGATAGTATGCTGGAAGATGCCAATAGAGCCTTCACAACAATCCCTACTACCACCATAACTCAAAGCAATGAACTGGTATATGCTACAGCCACCATAATCCTGGAGCTGCTTGGGTACATGATCAAGAAGAACAGCAGTATATGCCCCCCTGGAAAATGAGGTTGGAGGTTAAGATCAAGGTAACTTGGAGAGAAGTTAGTCAGCTTGTGGAACTACAGAAGTGTGTGAAAATTAAGGATAAGACTTGGCTACTGAAAAAATACAAGGGCTTGACTCCATCTGTAGCCCTAGAGACTGCTAAACAAAGGCTCATAGCACTGGCTGCCAGGCTAAGGAGATACACTAGAAAAGCAGAGGCCAAGAAGATAAATGCCCTATTTTCCAAAGAACCATCGAAAGTGTACTCCCAGCTGCAGTGCAACAACACAGCAACAGCAGAAACTGAACAGTACTGGAAGAACATATGGGAGAAAGAGAAGATATATAACACCAGTGCAAAGTGGCTGCAGGACTTGAAAGCAGACCACAGCAATCTCCCAGAACAGAAACCAGTCACTATCACAGTAGCAGATATCCAACAGTGGGTCAAGAACATAAAGAGCTGAACAGCACCTGGTCCAGTCATGATCCATACCTACTGGCTAAAAAAACTAACAGCAGTGCATGAATGCCTAGCGGTACAGGTAAACCAGCTGCTAGCAGCAGGCTCCCACTCAGACTGGCTAACACAAGGAAGGACAGTGCTGATAATGAAAGACCCCCACAAGGGAACAGCATCATCCAGCTACTGGCCAATAACCTGCTTCCCCGCAACATGGAAAGTCCTATCAGGTATCATAGCCACTAAGCTACAGGAACATATGGGCCAGTACATGAGCACAGCTCAGAAGGTCATTGGGAACAACACCTGAGTCTCAAAACACCAGTTACTCATAAATAGAGCAGTCGCACGAGACTCAAGGTCTAAATAGACCAATCTGAGCACAACCTGGATTGACTACAGGAAAGCCTATGACTCAATGCCATACACATGGATCTGTGAATGCCTGGCACTATACAAAACCAAAGGTACACTAAGAACCTTCCTGAAGAACTCAGTGGGACTGTGGAAGACAACACTGGAACTCAACTCAAGACAGCTCACACAAGTGGCCATCAAGTGCGGCATATACCAAGGTGATGCACTGTCCTTGCTGCTGTTCTGTATAGGCTTAAACCCCCTCAGCCAAATAATCACAAGGACTGGATACGGGTACAAGTTCAAGAGTAGAATCACCATCAGCCACCTCCTCTACATGGACTACATCAATCTATATGCTAGGAGTGAATGAGACATCAACTTGCTGATCCACCTGACATAGATCTACAGTGAGGACATTGGGATGTCATTTGGACTGGAGAACTGTGGTCGGATGGTAGTAGAGAGAGGGAAGGTAGTTAAGACTGATGGGGTAGAACTACCAGCAGGCCACATAACAGACATAGAGACCAGCTACAAGTACCTTGGTATTCCACAGTCACATGGGAACCATGATGAGGCAAGGAAGACAGCAACTTCCAAGTACCACCAAAGGGTAAGAC